GCTGCCGCTTCGCTGACTCGATCGCGACGATGGGCGTCCATGCAACGTCAGCGGTATGCCTGTGAAATTTATTTTCGGGGAGTTATTTCCGCATATAGAGACACGCGCTGTTTGTGTAATGGACGGCGCTTCATGGCTTTTTTCACATTTGCAAACGTGATGGACGTTTCGTTTGACCTTTTGGATGAGATATCCCGGCAAGTCAATCGTCCGACTTTTTAAACGAGATATTTCTGATCCTGTCTGTTTACTACGTCAGATATACGTTACATACACCGATACTATACAATATATTGCTTGGCGTGATTCTATATTTTTCGATATCAGAGATACGTTATGTAATCAGAATAAAATTGCAGAAATTATTTTTGTTTAAAAAAAAAACGAAAATGAGGTGTTCGTGTAATCAATATTTGTTTTACGAGATATTTAGAAATTATTATTGTTATTGAAAAAAACTCGTTCATAAGTATGAAAAAATTGCTTTTTTATTGTATTATTTTTAAGCAGGAGTATGATATATTTAGTTTTTTTTTCCTGCTCGAAAAGGTGTAGGGTTTTTTATTTTATGAAGTACGCTTAAAACCTCTCGCGCTTTTGCTACATCTGGTTTTAAAGTATAGTTTGCTGTATGACGTCGTAAGTAACGAAGACGAGAATAGATACTTCTCTTTGGAATATACTATGCATCGTATCGATATAGAGATATCTTCTATTGATTTCGCAGAAGCGAAGGTTCTCCAAGAAGGAGAATTATTATTGTCGAATTATACATATAAGGATGAATTAATGGTGCTGTTTTAGGAAAATCACGAGAAATAAGTAAAATTTGCTCGTATTTTGTCCAAAATAACAAATTTTCTTCTGTATAATCATAATTATAATGTTATTTTTAAATATAAAAGTATTGTAAATTCTAAATTTAAGGAAGACATTCTGTATTATAATTTTTTTTATAAATTAATTCCAGTTTTTTCTAGCCAGAATAAATGTTTTTAACTTGGAAGAGGAGATTGAAATATGTTACGTAAAGTTACGATAGTGACAGTACGTTTGCGAAAATAGTCTATTCCTTATTGTACAAGTAGAGGAAGGTCACCGATACCAA